TAATTATAAAAATTAAATTAAATTAATTATTAATTAAATTAAAAATTAAGAGTAAGGACTATGGGTTACACAGAGAACAAAAATTACCCCTTACATTTCTCTGGTTTTAGTTGCATGGCTCCAATAGGTTAATGGGAGTTATATAACTGGCACTCTAGGCAGAGCAGAACTAAATCTCAAGTTTTCTTAGGCCTCGTGCAAGTTAATATTGCTCATGTGAAGTCATTTGGGAGATTGGGGCCTTAAAAGGCAAGATTTTCAGGTCAGGGTCTGAGTTGTCATGTGTCTGTACAACCCATAGAAACATAAGAACGGCCATATTGGGTCAGACCAATGGTCCACCTAGCCCAGTATCCTGTCTTCTGACAGTGGCCAAAGCCAGAGGCTTCAGAGGGAATGAACAGAACAGGGCAATTATTGAATGATCCATCCCCTGTTGTCTGCTCCCAGCTTCTGGCAAACAGGCTCAGGACACCCCTTGTGTGAAGAAGTACTGTACTTCCTTTTCTTTGTTTTAAATCTCCGGCCTATTAATTTTATTGGGTGACCCCGGTTCTTGTGTTGTGTGAAGGGTAATTAACACTTTTTCTCCACACCAGGCATGATTTTACAGACCTCTGATATCCCCCCTTAGTCATCTCTTTTCTAAAATTAAAGTCCCAGTTTTTTTAATCTCTCCTCATATGGAAATTGTTCCATGCCCCTAATAATTTTTGTTGCCCATCTCTGCACCTTTTCCAATTCTAATATATATTTTTTGAAATGGGGTGATCAGAACTGCTCGCAGTATTCATGGTGTGGGTATTCCTTGAATTTATAAAGTGGCATTATGATATTTTCTGTCTTATTATCTATCCCTTTCCTACTGGTTCCTAACATTGTTAGCTTTTTTGACTGTCACTGCACATTAAGCGGATGTTTTCCAGAACTATCCACAAAGACTCCAAGATCTCTTTCTGGCACAATGGTGCCCCACTCCTGAATGAAGCTGCTGGATATTACTGTAATATAAAGGTATGATGATAATCCAGTAAAGATAATGTTTTATTTAAACTGTATTCCAGGATCAGTTCAGGATACTTTCCCAAACCTCTCATGGTTTTCCTGTCACTAACTTGTTCTTGTAATTTTTACAGTGCCACAAGGGGGGATACGTGAAAGAATCAGTTCTATGTCACTGATAATTAAGCTTAATTATAGGAGATATCCCATCTCCTAGAACTGGAAGGGACCTTGAAAGGTCATAGAGTCCAGCCCCCTGCCTTCACTAGCAGGACCAAGTACTGATTTTGCCCCAGATCCCCAAGTGGCCCTCTCAAGGATTGAACTCACAACCCTGGGTTTAGCAGGCCAATGCTCAAACCACTAGAATAACCTAAAATTCACCATAATGCACAATTAAGTTCTCATAATAGAAACATTTCGGTGGGCAGTGAGAAATGATTTTATATTTTTTTTACCTGGGAGAATAAGGCGACAACTCCCACTGCATATTGTGAGCAGGAACTGATTGAAAATGAGCTAGCAAGAGAGAGCTGTCTGACTCGTAGGCTCCACTGTCCTCTCTGTTCTTCTCTTGTGCTCTTTGTACGATTGAGGTAGCCAGAGGAGCAGCTGCAGACTGCACTGTGCGTTTTCTTAAAGCTCTCTGAGGAAGGCCAGGTATTTTGTGAATGTGTGGCAAATCAATTTCTGAAATACACCACCACCACCACACCATAGATGTCAGTCTTAGAAGACAAAAAACAAACAAAGAAACAAACAGAAAACTAAGCCCTTCTTCTGCAATTGGCTGTGGTCATGTGCCTGTAAGTGGAACTCTTCTGCTGTGTATTCAGGAGCACAAGATCAACTATGAAATTAAGTCTAAATTCTTCCCTCAGATGGCAGATCTTGGTTCTAATATTTTTCACGTGCTCCTGGAGCTGGCAGCTTTGAGAAAGATTTTGCTCTTAGTGTGCAGGACTGGTTATTGTACCAGATGTAACTATGATGGGGAGTAAAAAACCCAACCAAACGTATGTTTCTGCTGTACTGGTGCTACTTTTATGCACGGGAATTGATACAAATCATCAGGATTAACAGTATTGAGAAGATATACGAGAAATGGAATAATATCTAAGGAAGATCATATTCAAGTTCATGTTCCTTACAAGAGGGCTCAAATATTATGGAATGTTTCTCTTTGGAGGGAATCAAATACAGAGACTACAAAATACAGGCAATGCCAGATTATACTGAACTAGAAGACCATGGTCTAGTGGATTTAGTTTAAGAAATATCTTATGCAGCCAGTGCTCAGTGGGTGAAATTCATGCCTGTGCAAAGGACCAGCATGAGGTCTATACATCACTTTAGTTCCTTTTAAATGACCAAATATGGCTTAAGTGGTGCATAATTCATACTTTGGCCCAATGCCCAGACATGAATTTCATGCAGAGACAGGAATTCCAATATAAATACATGTATTATTATAATGTACTGCTTAAATGTAGTAGCAAATGTATATGGAATATCTAGCTCCAAAAAAAAACCCATTAAGATAGTCTTTGTTTTATTAAAAACTTATTTCTTTCCCTAATTCCAAACACTAACAAAAGTTACAGTGCCACTGAATCAGAGAAATGTGGAAGTGACACTGTCATTAGTGCCTTCCTCATTAAGGGTCAGAACCCACCTCTCTTGCTCACCTTGCGTGATACCCTACTCCACAGTCACCTTGGCTTCACAGGAACCTTTCGTGCGAATAACTGTTCACCAATGTGATTAAGAAGTTCACAGTCTGCCCTTCTATCTGTTTCAATGGACAATATTTTAAAGCCAGAAAGCCACTCTATAAAATTAAGTCTGAAACTGCAGATCAAGAAGAGAAAGGACAGGCCTTGAGCTAGTTTGTCCATTGTAGTACCCACTGAAATAAAAGCAAACTGAAAACTTTTAAAATCATCACTAAAATGTTTTTCTACAGAGACTGACCAAAAGCCATTCGATAATGTTCCAGCCAGTCATCCAAAATAGTCTTGATCTTCCGCTGTAGTTTTCTTAATTCTCTGGCTGCACTGAAGTCATTTATATGGCTTATGTTCTCCTCTGGAATTTCAAGTGTCTTCACCAACTCTGATAACTTTGGCTTTTTTTGAAAAAATAGAAAAAACACAGTTAAAAGTTATATTTGATGTTTAATGTTGCCAAAACAGCCTTGAAATAATGTTATAATTAGGGCTGTCAAGCGATTAAAAAAATTAATTGTGATTAATCGCACTGTTAATAATAGAATACCATTTATTTAAATATTTTGGATGTTTTCTAAATTTTCAAATATATTGATTTCAATTACAACACAGAATACAAAGTGTACAGTGCTCACTTTATATTTATTGTTGATTACAAATATTTGTACTGTAAAAACCAAAAAGTATATTTCAATTAACCTACTACAAGTACTGTAGTGCAATCTCTTTATCACGAAAGTTGAATTTACAAATGTAGAATTATGTTACAAAAAATAACTGCGTTCAAAACTAAAACAATGGAAATCTTTAGAGCCTACAAGTCCATTCAGTCCTACTTCAGCCAATCGCTCAGACAAACAAGTTTGGTTACAATTTGCTGCCTGCTTCTCGTTTACAGTGTCACGTGAAAGTGAGAACAGGAGTTTGCATGGCACTCTTGTAGGCGGCATCGCAAGATATTTACGTGCCAGATGTGCTAAAGATTCATGTCCCTTCATGCTTCAACCGCCATTCCAGAGGACATGCTGATGACCTGCTTGATAACAATCCAAAGCGGAGAGGACCGACGCATGTTCATTTTCATCATCTGAGTCAGATGCCACCAGCTGAAGGTTGATTTTCTCTTTTGGTGGTTCAGGTTCTGTAGTTTCCGCATCTGCGTGTTGCTCTTTTAAGACTTCTGAAAGCATGCTCCACACCTCGTCCTTCTCAAATATTGGAAGGCACTTCAGATTCTTAAACCTTGGGTCAAGTGCTGTAGCTATTTTTAGAAATCTCACATTGTTACCTTCTCTGAGTTTTGTCAAATCTGCAGCGAAAGTGTTCTTAAAATGAACAACATGTGCTTGGTCATCATCCAAGACTGCCATAACATGAAATATATGGTAGAATGTGGGTAAAACAGAACAGGAGATATACAGTTCTCCCCCAAGGAGTTCAGTCACAAATTTAATTAACACATTTTTTCTAACGAGCATCATCAGCATGGAAGCATGTCCTCTGGCATGATGGCTGAAGCATGAAGGGGCATACGAATGTTTAGCATATTGGCACTTAAATACCTTGCAATGCCGGCTACAAAAGTGCCATGTGAATGCCTGTTCTCACTTTCTCACATTATAAATAAGAAGCAGGCAACAGTATCTCCCATAAATGTAAACAAACTTGTTTGTCTTAGTGATTGGCTGAACAAAAAGTAGGACTGAGTGGACTTGTTCTAAAGTTTTACATTGTTTTATTTTTGAGTGCAGTTATGTAACAAAAAAAAATCTACATTTATAAGTTATTTTCACCATAAAGAGATGGCACTACAGTACTTGTATGAGGTGAATTGAAAAATACGATTTCTTTTGTTTATCATTTTTACAGTGCAAATATTTGAAATAAAAAATAATATAAAGTGAGCGCTGTACACTTTGTATTCTGTGTTGTAATAGAAATCAATATATTTTAAAATGTAGAAAAACATCCAAAAATATTTAATCTATTTCAATTGGTATTCTATTGTTTAACGGTGCAATTAATCGCGATTAATTTTTTTAATCGCGGTTAATTTTTTTGAGTTAATAGTGTGAGTTAATTGCGATTAATTGACAGCCCTAGTTATAATATATATGAGATCTTTAATTTAAAAGCATATTTTGAATATAAGTTATCAGTAGAGTGAGGAGATAGAGAAGACTTTTTCAAAGCCTCCCACGATTGGAAGTTAGCAGGAACTAGTAAATGCCACCATCTTCTAGTCTGATCCATTATACTGTGTAATCTAGTTTGTCTTCATAACACATACTCTTAGTCCTCTGTTGTAGGATGCAAAAAGAAGGGTGCGGATTCTGTAAATTATACCTCAGTCTGCCACAGCTTGTTTGTCTGGCTAGACTGCTGCCAGTCCCATTGCTTCCTCACTCCATTGTTCAAAGACCTCCCTTTTGGTTTTACAAGTATTGCGTAAAGTGCAGGAGGAGAACATTATAATGGCTTGATTAGTCATTGAATTAACATTGTAAGTCAGCAGCTATTTGCATTTGGCTCTCAGCCTCCCAAAAGCACGCTCTACCTCTATTTTACACCTGCTGTACCTATTGACATCTCTCTGGGTACACCTCTACCCCGATATAACGCGACCCAATATAACACGAATTCGGATATAACATCGTAAAGCAGTGCTCTGGGGGGGCGGGGCTGCACACTCTGGCGGTTCAAAGCAAGTTCGATATAATGTGGTTTCACCTATAACGCGGTAAGATTTTTTGGCTCCCGAGGACAGCGTTATATCGAGGTAGAGGTGTATTTTTAATCTGAGAGTGGTTTTGTTAGGCATAACAAGTGATTCTGGGCAGTCCTGCCTCCTCACACAGTGCGGATGGAGACATCATTAACGTCAATATTGTTTGGTGGGACTAGGATTCCCTTCTGCCCACTTTGGGAAGGTCCAGAGTTTTTGAAAATTCTCACACCATGCATTTTTCTTCCTATGATGGCCCACCAAAACCTGCCTTACCAACCTTTTTCTTCATGTATTTCTGGATTTGTTGGCAGGGGCACATGAGACCCAGCCAGGGATTTCCCTAGACCCCCCCTGAATTTCCCCAACACTCTCCCACCCCCCCACCCCCAGTTTTGTGAACTAGTTACAGACAGTGTTGCCAATTTAGTGATTGTTTGGAAATTTGAATTGAAATTGAAACATTAATACACACTTTAAAAGCATATACAGTGTATGATAAAATGTGTATCTGAAAAAGTATAGATTTGAAAAGTATGAACATAGACTAGCTTCCTTATACAGCTGTTGTTTTTTATGACAATGTCAGTGCATTCATTTCGGTGATGTTGGCCAACCTAATAATTTCAAATTATGATTTGGAAGCAAAGTCTAAGGCCTTGGCTACACTGGCACTGTACAGCGCTGCAACTTGCTGCACTCAGGGGTGTGAAAACGCCTACCCCCCCCGAGCGCAGCGAGTGCAGCACTGTAAAGCTCCAGTGTAATCAGCGCCTGTAGCGCTGCACACTCGCTTTCAGTGCTGCAAGCTATTCCCCTCGGAGAGGTGGAGTACTTGCAGCGCTGCGAGAGAGCTCTCGCAGCGCTGGCGGCGTGACTACACTCGCGCTTCACAATCCCCAAGTGTAGCCAAGGCCTCACTGAGCTCTCCCTGATAGCTAGTGATGAGCTGGGGGGAAAGGCTTCAGGACCAGATTGTATTTATATTCACACCTAATCTACCTAGGTATCCAGCAAACAGAGCTGTGTTACCCAAGTGATAGATTTTGGCTGGGGTTGGGTTACAAATCACTTGAATGCAGGGTGGGGTGGTGGTGGGGGAGTAATGAAGTGTTGTTGTTCTTATTGTATGAGTAAAGGGCAGTAGAACTGTACTTAGCCTGTGCTGATTGAGGGCATCAAGAGAGAGGGTGGGGACAGGTGTTTTGCTTGATCATCTGCCTGAGTCACAAGTACTATTTGACCTGCCCCTCTCCACTGTTTAAAGACAGAGCTGTTTAGGCTCCAGAGATAGTTTTTTGCTTCGTTAAGTGACCACTACAGCTGAAATAACTGATAATCAGGTCTAAGTGCTTAGACCTGCTGTGGGACAGTATTTCTGTGGAAGAGATGGCCCAGCGTGCACTATCAGCGAGGTTCCCCCACTGAGAGCTCAGCTGAAATCACTGAGAGCTGGGTGGAACCTCAAGAGACCAACTTGCAGAGGTCACAGTGGCAGGTGGCAGCAGAAGGTGACGGCACAGGGCCATTGGCAATAGAGCAATGGAGTGAACAGTGGTCAAAGTGAAAATGAAAAGACAAAAACCAATGCAACGATTTTTCCACTCAAAGGCCTCAAAAACTGACCAAGGTAAAGAACACATCAAGAACCAAGAATATATCAACATGTCATTTGAAGGTTCAAGTGGTGTATCTACATCCAACCAGCCTGAAGCACAAATACAGCTACCTACTGAAGAAACAGCGTCTCCAAAACCTAAAGGCAGTTCCCGATGTTTGTCAGTCAAAGTGTTCCCATTTATTGAAGTTACAAAAGATGGCTACTGGTCCACCTCTTGCAAAAAAGCTTACGAAGAAGGAAAGCTTTCCAATGCTATAACTGGTAAAAGTGGAGGAGCTTGGTTTGTCAGACCGATCAGCAAAGCCAATGCTGACAAACTACGTGAAAAGGCTGCAAAACACCAGGCCTCTGGAGTGCATCAACATGCTGAAAGCCTTATAAGCCCACTTTCAAAGCCAGTTTTAGAAGTACTTAATGAGGCTGTTAAGAATGCTGGAGACACAACACAGTTCATGCGAACAAACACGGGTGTGGCATCCTACTTTCTATTTAAGCAAGAGATACCACACACTACATTACTTTTGCTACTACCTTCAGAGAAGACTATTGCCATTCTCTCTCTCGTAAGTCTACTGTTGAAACCACTTGGGTCATTAAACAATGCCATCCAGGCACCTGCTACAACAGGAGTAGATCTTTGTCCAGCAATAGAAGCTACATTTGGATCAATCAGAGAGATCCATTGAAAAAATACTAGAAGAAGCAAAGACTTCAGTCCAGAAGTTGACTAATGAAGGCATTTATGTTGAATCCTTAAGTGAAGAGGACAAGAAGTGTTTGTTAAGACAACTGAAAAAGTACACAGACTTGATTCTTAAAAATCTACAACAGCGACTTCTAGATTCTACTCAACCTCTACGTAGCTTTTACAGATCCCTGTCCTATAAAACACCGACAGTTGAGGGGAGTGAGGCACTACCAGCAATGGGGCTGCCATGTGCTCAGGACAGAATAGAGAATTTGAACACAGAGTGGAATATCAGATGACGAATGAATGAAGATTTGACTTCAACTTCTTTTTTATCACTACTAGTGGCTTTTCCCCATCTTTT